CCCCCAAGGAAGTTTTCTAAGACTTTGAGGAGCAGGTCGGTGATTTCCTCCTCCTCCCTTTCCCGCCTCCGGTACCCCTCCCCCTTCCTCCTCTCTTGCACCCCCTAAAGCCCCTGTAGTGTGGTAAGGGAGGGGACGGGATCAAGAGGAGGGGGGCTTCCAAAGCGCTAGCAAACCGGCTGCCTCTACTGCCCCGGGTGGGTCGCGAGGTTCAGTGGCCTGACCCTACTCCAGCTTCGGCCTCCCCCACTCCCCCCCACCCCCGACGGACTCCCTCGGGGAACGTTCACGAGCTGGGGAGGGGAGGGAGGGAGGGAGGGAGCCCAGCCACCTGCCGGAGGAGCGGGCGGCTGGAGGGGGGAAGGATGTCTCTACTCTCGTGCCCTTGGGACACGCAGGCGAGAAGGATGCAAAGGTAGTTTCGCAGCCCCCCGCCTCGCCCCCTTCCTGCTCCTCCACCACAGTCCCCTGGGTTCCGGCTACTCCCTCAGGCACACACCTCATGGGTTTCCTGGAGGATCTGGGTGCCGGCCTCTACCTGCCTCCTGCCCGGTTAATGTTTCACACGCCTCCCTTTGTCCCTCCAGGGTGCAAGGGGCGACGACCACAGGCAAGAGACGAGCCCACAGGGGACGGAGGCGGGGGGGGGGGGGGGGGGCGCGGATCGGGGAGAGTGTTCAAGCAGGTCCCAAGCAGTCGGGGGCAGCCCCTGAAGCAGCGGCCCACCTTCAGGCCCCATGGCAGCCCTGTACCCATTCCTGCCCCTCAAGAGCCCCGTACCCATTCCTGCCCCTCAAGAGCCCCAGACTTCTCCAACCCTTGGCCCGTGAGAATCAGCATTCCTGACCGCAGCCCACCAGGGCCAAACTGGGGAGGGAAGGGGGGTGCCTAGGAATCTGATCCTCACCCCTCTCCCAGAGGCACCTGCCTGTGGCGACATCCCCACCTAGGACCCACCTGGACACACCTTGGAGGGCCTCACCTGTCTTGACTGTGGCCAGCAGTGTCTGCGATCTGCACTGGTACCGGCTAGGCAGGGCTTCTGGCCCCCTCGCGGTGCCCCTCCCCACCCTGCCTGTGGCCGGCCCCCTCGCCCGCCCTCCCTCCTTCCCCCTCCCCCTCCTCACTCCCCACATCCTCCTCCTTCTCCGCTCAGCTGCTCCTGCCGGCAGCAGAGCCCTGGGCACTGCCCGGGCTGCTGGGTAATCAATCCGAGGTGCCCTCACCCAGGCGGCACACCCAGGACCTTACGGGAACACCCACGCACAGTGTTTCTGAGCCAGTGCCCCTGGGCGCCCAACTCGCGTCCCTTATTTGTGACAGGCCTATCCATGCAGGAAACTCTGAGACCTTAGCCAAGGGCTGTGGCTTTGCCGTTTTCCAATGCGTAACTGGCGTAGACAACTTGAGAGGAGGTAAAAAAGTTCTTTTCCAGGCACATGTGGCCACTGACCCTGACCAGAGAAGGCTGATGCCCTCCTCCAACTTGGGTTTGAGATTGAGCCCTAAGCTGACCATCCTTGAGTCCTACCCTTACTGACAGAATGACCTCCACCTGATCGGGGCCTATCCCTAAGCCTAGGCTGACTCCTAACCTGGTCACTAGACCACCTGCCTGGCCACATCAGCATTCTTATCTGGCGCCCCAGGGAGAACCCGAAATAGGTATGGGCCGCTCACAGCCTGAGTCAGGGACACATGTCAGAATGGGGAAGCCCAGGACAGGCAAGAAGTCTGGCTGGGGGTGATGGCCTAAAGACCGAGGGATCCCCCCTGCACGGGGGCTGAGCCAGAGAGTCCTGACGCCTGTCTAGGAAGAGGCATTGGTTTGGAGGAGCGTGTGAGGCCGGGCCTCAGGCCATGGCCCCAGCTACCGGAAGTGACTGTACAGAAAAGAGCTGGATTTGATGAGGATTTGGGGTCCACTCAATCCCAGGCCTGCTATTGGCTCCTGTGCAACCTAACCTCTCTGGACCCCAATCGCCACTACAGCTAAATGAAGCAAGTCCCCTCTGGCTCTAGTGGGTGGCCACACCCACAGTGGATAGAGAGCTGGGTCTGGGGTCAGGAAGACTCCAGACGCAAATGTTCAAATGCAGCGTGTGACCTTCACCTTTGCCTGCCTCAGTTTCCTCAACTGTAAAATGAGGATGATAACAGCATCTACTGCATAGCTGAGAGGGTTGTTGTGAGGGTCAAATGAGATCATATTTATAAAGCATTTAGCTCAGTGCCTAGCACACAGTAGGCACTTAATAAATGCTCATTCTCTCCTTCCCCCAGCTCTAGATGTATGAACTAAAAACCCCTGTGTGTGGAGGTGCCGGTGGGGTTTCCTCACTTTTCATTGTGAGAGGTTCTGTCCTTCTAACAGACACTTGCTTGTCTTCATGGTGGAGCTCCCTCTTCCCCTCCTTGCGTGTGCTGCTTGAGGGCAGAGACATTTTCTGTTTGTGCCTAGCACAATGCCTGATAAACAGCAGACAATTAATACTTCTAAAATTGAGTTCAATTGAACCTCTTGCCCTCTGGCAGCAGGTGAGAAAACTCTGCAAGGAGGTGCTGCCCAGTCTGCCCTGTGCTTCTGCTTTCCTCCCTCTCTTTCTCAGCTTGGGCTCCATTGGCACAAGGGAGGCGAGTCACCCCTCCAACAACAACCAGCAAGGCCCTTCCCTGGCAGGCCAACTCCCCCAGTCTCTCCCCATACCAATCCTCCCTGCCTATGCATAAACACAGAAACACTCCCACCCCAGATACGCAGAAGGGGACATGAGACCAACTCCATGTTTCAAGTGCTCCTATATCTTGGGGTGCCAAAGATGGAAAATGGGAAAGAAAACTTCTTCCTGAGGAACCTTTCCCAAGCTGGAATCTGGTAAGTGCAAGGGAGAGTGAACAGAGGCCAGGAGGAAGGAAGAAGGGAAGGAGATAAGGTTCCAAGCTGGTGCAGTCAGGCCAGACTGCATGGAGGAAGGGACATTTTCAGGGGGGACCTTGTTTGTGAGCTGTCCAAATCATTCAGGAGAGTTATGATAGCAGATGTGTGGGTGAGAACAGGATGACACTGGGCCCCAGATTGAAAGCTGAACAGGACCTTAGAAGCCAGCTAGGCATTTTAGCATGGTCTTCATAAATGCTTTTTCATTTATCTAGTCCAACCCCTTGATTTTACAGAGGAGGAAACTGAGGCCCAGAGAGGTTAAGTGGTTTGCCCTAGGTCACACAGCTAATAAATGGCCGAGCCAGTGCCCTTCCCCCAGGCCATGAGGGATCCCCTACTCGGATTATAAGAAGAGTCATGAAATAAGGTTGGGATGGTAGGCTGTGGAGGGCCTTCAACGCTAAGGTGAGGTGCTAGGAGTGGGAGCCAGCACAAGAAAATGACCAGGACAAAACAGTGCCTGGGAAGGAGACTGCGGTACAACTGTGCAGGGTAGTGGGGGAGGAAAGAGGCCAGCACTCCCTCCTCTGTCCCAAAGCCGAGGCTGGCTGAGAAAGGGACCCCCAAGGCTGGCCCTAACTGCTAAACCTAGAATTCCTCTTACTAGAGGTTTGAGAAGGCAGAAGGCAATGTGGGCTGGAGAAATCAGGGAAGGCTTCCCAGAGAAGGGGGGCCCTGACCCCACTGGAAGCACAGAGAGGAAGGGGACGTGCTTTTCCAGGAGAGGCTCACAATTTGAGGGAAAGTCACTGAGCCAGGTTCAAAGCAGGACACAGAGCCCATCCAGGCCAATTCCCTTGTTTAACAAATAGGGCCCTGGCAGGTGGGTGGGGGAGGAAACTGCCTGAAGGCCCCAGGCCAGGAGGAGGTACAGTCCTTGCTCAGGTGCTGGGGGCTCCTTCCTGAGGACTTGCAGTGAAGCCTGGGCTGGGAGGTCAGGGGGAGTGGCTCAGCTGGTGTGGAGGCTGAACACAGGGGCAGTAAGGTACATGAGGGCAGATGGCCATGGTGGGATCCTGCATGAGGGCCGTGATGTGGTCTGAGCCTGGCTTTAGGGTGACCAGCCTGGAGAGGTGGGGAGTCCAGTTAGGAGGCAGCCATACCAGTCTAGGTCTGCCCCTGGTAGAGAAGCTGCCTGAGCTACTGTGGGCTGAGATGGGGGTGGGGAGGAGAAAGAGGAAAGGACAAGTCTGAGGGAGCTTCTCCCATAGGCCTAACAGAGACCTTAGCATCTAACTGGCCTAATCCTCTCATCTTACAGGCCCTGAGCAGGAAGACGTACCCAAGGTCACAAAGCATGGTCAAGAGTAAAGCAAGAGATTTGAACTCAGGTCCTTGGGGACCTCGCCAGTATGTTTCAGGACACCTTGGGTTTTGCTGGCTGAGTCCATCTGAGCCCCAGAGAGGACTAGGAGGATAGGGGCTCAGGACCCGGCCTGCCAGTCACAGGCATCTGTCGGCGTATGCCCCCCCACAGAAGCAGGCAGACCTGGAGAAGTGGGGGAAGCCCAGCCAGCCCAGTGCGGCTGCTTCTGTCTCGGTCACCCAGCTGGAATAAGCACGGAGCAGTAATAGGGCTGGAGGGAGCCGTGGCCATACTCCCAGCTCTGCTACTGGCTGGACAAGTGACCTTGGGAAAGTCTCTTCCTTGTCAGAGCCGCCGTTTCCTTCTCTGTAAAAAGAGAGGCTTTAGCCAGCTTCCAGAACCAGGGTTCTGAGGCTTAGGGAGGATGGAAACAGTACCTGGCACAAAGCAGGCAGAAGAGGAGAGGCATGAATGAGTGGGCATTGGCACGGCACAGACATGTGGAGGTGGTTGGTGCTCGGAGCTGCTGCCCCCAGGGGGCCAGTGGAGGCTGGCCTCAGCCCTGCCCAGATCACCACAGTCTTTGCTCCACATTCCTCCGGAGAGAAAGCAGCCCCCAGATCCCCACGGGAACAAGGCTGCCTCCCCCCCCAGGAGCCCCCACTCACTGCCCTGCCTCCCTCCCCAACCTGCCTGTCCTGGTCCATCCCTCCTTTTGGGGAAGCCAAGACACGGCTAGAATGACAGCAAAGCAAGCTTGTGGATTGTGGAGGCTTAGCCCGCTTCAGGATTCCCTTGCATTCAGCCCTGCTTACGCCAATACCACTGAGGTCCCTGGGGCATCTGGGCCAGGACTGTGCTGGTCACACTCCTACATAACCCCAGCAGAATCCCAGAATCAGCCACTGCTTCTCCCTTGGTAGATTTTGGTACCTGGAGTTCCCTGGGAGTGAAGGTGGACCCCAGGAAGGAAATGAGCACTTAAGCACCTACTGTGTGCCAGGCTCTGTGCTAAGCACTTTACAAACATTATCTCATTTGATCCTCACAATGACAGTGGAGGTCTGGGCTATTTTTATCCCTATTTGACAGATGAGGAAAATGAGGCACACAGGATGAAGTGACTTGCCCAGAGTCACACAGCTATTAAGTGTCTGAGGCCAGATTTGAACTCAGGTCTTCCTGACTCCAGGCCCAGGGCTCTAGCCACTGCCCAGCTCGCTGCTGTGGTGCCTGAGGAATGGGTCCAGACTCTGGGTCAGCTTCCATCACCACCACCAATGACACCGGGGGGAGAGGGTTTCTGGGAGATGGGGCCAGGCCGGGTCTCAGGCTTGGAAGCCAGGGCCCCCGGCTGTTTCCTGGCCCTGGGAAAGGCTCCTGTGACCCTCAGGCCTTCTAGAAGAACTAAGAGTAGCTGGGCCACTGGCGGTCTCCTGGCCTGACTGTTCTGTTCCCTTCCTTCACCACTTATCTCTGAGTCACGGCCTCCCAGCTCCCAGCTCCCAGCTCCCAGCTCCCGGTAAATATTAACAAAGGCCTCTGTGTGACCAGGGAGGGGGAAGGGATCGTTGTTTCTGAGCTATTCAAGCCCCCGACCCCCAGCCCCCTTCGTGCCTGTGTCTGCTCCAAGCCCCTGCCCCCAGCCCAGGCCTGGGATTCAGGCGGGGGACAGAGGATCTGGTGCAATTCCCACAAAGGGGGGTGGCGGTGGCAGGGATCGTGGGAACCCAAGGAGCTGGCGCTGAGCTACCCCCTTCCTCCTTTTCCTCCTCCTCAGCCGCCCTCCCAACAATGGGCACCAGGC